GTGTGCGTGTGTGGAGGGGGAGCGTGGAGGTGTGTGCGTGTGTGGAGGGGGAGCGTGGAGGTGTGTGCGTGTGTGGAGGGGGAGTGTGGAGGTGTGTGTGTGTGGAGGGGGAGTGTGGAGGTGTGTGTGCACAATAGTAAATGGGCACTATGTACATGGGGCGGGGACTGTGCACGTGTGGGAGTAAGCATGGGGGAGCATGTCAGTGTGTGGAGGTGTGTGTGTATGTGTGAATGTGTGTGCACATGAGTGTAAATGAGCATGTTGGTAAGTGGGGGGGAGTGTGCACGCGTGTTGAGTGTGGGAATGCGTGTGTGTGTATGGGGATACTGTGTGTGTTCATGTGTGCATGTGAGTGAGCACGTGTGAGTGGGTGTGTGTGTGTGTTTTGGGAGCAGGGGCGAATGACCAACTCCTTCAGGCCCAGGCCCAGGGACTGTCCCCAGAACAGAAATCCCCTGCTAAGAGGCCAGGAGGCCCTCAGGTTGGAACTGGGAGCATGGTAGGTGAGGTCTGTCCCTCTCCTCAGCCAAGACTCAGGCGAGGCTGGCAGGTGGCCCTGGGGAAATCCAAGGAGCAAGACCCCTTGTCAGGGCAGGGCTCCAGCTGAGCAGGCTCAGGTGTGCCTGATGGTGGTCTCCTTTCAGGCTCTGCCCCCAAGCCACCCTGCCAGCTTCAACAGGGAAGGGCTGGACGGGCTCTCGGCCCTGACCAAAGTGCCAGGGATGCGGATGAGTGTGCTGCTGTCCGGATCCGGGCCTGAGTACACAGAGCACCCCGAGGTGGCACGCCGGGACAGTGTGCCAGCCGAGAGCCGGCTAGCCAAGAACGATGTGCCCATCCAGCTGCTCAGCGCCACCAACCAGATCCAGCGGCAGGCGGCCGTGCAGCAGCAGATCCCCACCAAGCTGGCCACCTTCACCAAGGGCAGCAAGGACAAGGGGGGCAAGAGTAGGGGCTCCCAGCGCTGCGAGAGCACAGGTGAGCCCAGCCCTGGCAGGGTGGGGAGCATCACTGGCCTGGAGCAGCTGGCGCTGAGGGGCCTCCCAGCCCTTAACCGGCGCAGCACAGGTGCTGCTTGCAGCCCTGGGGCTGGAGGCAGCCATCTCAAGTGTGGCCACCAGCCTCTCCTTCCTCCTTGAACTGGGGTCCCAGCCATGGGTAGTTTGTTAGATGATAGACTTTTATGTGTCTTTTATCAGGGATCCTTGTGGGAGCACAAACAAAGGGCACTCATGTCATTCTTTGGAGAGAGTGCTAAGAGAAAAAGCAAAACGCATAAACGTAATGACACTGTGAGGCTGCCCTCTACGTGGAAGTCTTAACCTCCAGAGGGAAAAATCACAATGATAAAGCTCAGGTCCTTTTCCTGCCTTGATCCTCAGACCGTGGGATCAGGGACAGGGACATCTCAGCAGTTCAGAGACAAGGGCCTATTAGACCCTAGGCCAAAACCCTGCTAGAGGCCACAGGCCCCAGGAGGTCATCAAGAACAAGAGGTCAGAGCACCCTGAGCACTTAGGAATGGTGCAGCCCAGGCCTGAGACAAGCTGCCACCCCAGCCCTGGTTCACCCACTGATCAGATCTGAGGAAGGGCACTGTCTTGGTATTTTCAGCGTGGTTTTAGAAAGTAGGTCCACTGGATCTGTTGAAGGGTGCTGTCTTGGTATTTTCAGCGTGGTTTTAGAAAGTAGGCATGAGCCCGCTGGGTGTCCATGCCATTGCCATAGTTACTGTTGCTAACACTTAGGCACTGAGCCCCAACACTGGGCCCTACCCAGTATATTAAGTTTGACCCAAAGGAGGTCTGTGGGTGTCGTGGATGGTCTGTCGGATGCAGCACAAGGAAGTGAGACTCATGCAGGAAGGGCAGAAAACAAATAAAATTTAGTGCTTACACGTCAGAGAGGAAACTACAGCCCATCCACACAGGGCCACACAGGGCGTTGCATAGGGGACAAGACAGCAACAAGCTGGAACTGTAGGAGAGGGCTTATGTATTCAAGCAAGGCGGGTGTCTTAGTCATCTAGTGCTGCTGTAACAGAATACCACCAGTGATAGCTTTAACAAACAAGTTTATTCTCTCACAGTCTAGTAAGCTAGAAGTCGGAATTCAGGGCATCAGCTCCACAGAGAAGGCTTTCTCTGTCAGCTCTGAAGGAAGGTCCTTGTCATCAGTCTTCGCTTGGTGTAGGAGCTTCTCAGTGCAGGGACCCTGGGTCCAAAGGACACGGTCCGCTCCTGGCACTGCTTTCTTGGTGTTAGGAGGTCCCCCTAGCTCTCTGCTCACTTCTCTCTTTTATATCTCTAAAGAGATTGACTCCAGATACAACCTAATCTTGTAGATTGAGTCCCATCTCATTAATATAACTGCTTCTACCCCTGCCTCGTTAACATCATAGGGGTGGGATTTACAGCCCATAGGACAATCACATCAGATCACAAAATGGTAGACAACCACACAGTACTGGGAATCATGGCCTAGCCAAGTTGATAAACATTTTGCGAGGGATACAATTCAATCCACAACAACGGGGTCAGCTAGGTTTCGTGGGCTGATGTTTTATTGGTCAGTTTAAAGGTTTCTAGGGCATTAGTGTGAGAAAGAAAAGTTTTGTATCAAGAGAAGCTATACGGGGCGTGGCCAGGAGGTTCCCTTAGAGGCCACAGGTTGAGAGGCTGTGCGCTAAAAATAGGACCTGAGTCTGAAACTGGGTGAAAGGGCGACTAACCTAGAGCTGTCAGTAGATTCCGACTCAGCGAAGCTATAGGACAGAGAACTGTAATCTTTGCAGAAGCAGACTGCCACACCTTTCTGCCACAGAGTGCTTGGGTTCAAACTGCCGACCTTTCAGTTAGCGGCTGAGTGCTCAACCACGGCCCCCCCAGGGCTCCTTCCAAAGGGCAAGTAGGAGGAATTCATGGCAGCAAACTACATAATCCACACGTGGGCCCCACGACACCCAGTGACCTCACGCACCTCTAGTGGCCCCGTCCTGAGGAGCAGGGCACTGGGTCCCAAAGGCAGTGAATCCCTCGGGCAGCCTCCTGCAGGTCGTGGAGCTGGAGCCAGTCCTGGACCCCTTGGCACAGCATGGACAGGCCCCAGCAAGGAGGCTGCAGCCCAAGGCCGGCCCTGCCCCTCTAGTGGCCCTGTCCCTCTGGTGGCCCTGTCCCTCTGGTGGCCCTCCTGGACGAGGACAGTTCTGAGACCCTCGGTGGCCTTGAGGAGGGGGCCCATGCTCACAGCCCCGAGTACGTGCGTCAGGAGGAGGGGTGTTTGCTGGGGCTGACAGGCCCAAGGCTGCCTCGCCCTCCCCGACCAGGTGTTGAGTCACTCCGGTCCCTTTTGTCCTCAACGGGGTGCTCTCCCCATACTTGTACCACTGAACTTCGGGCTCATGTCTGAGCAGGGCCCAGTTATGGGAGCAGGTTCTGGGGTCCTCCCTCATCTGGTTGCATGTGGACAGCGTTGAGAAGGGGAGGCCCCTCACTGCTCTGTGGTCCCCTCACTGTTCTGGGGTGCTCCTCACACTCTGGGGGACCCCTTTCTGCTCTGGAGTGCATCCTCACTGAGGTCGGGCAGTCCAGTGTCTGGAGCAGGCCAAGCTCCACAGGCTGCCCCCTTCTTTCAGCCTCTGCCCACTTCCTTCAGCCCCTGCCCCCTTTCAGCCCCTGCCCCTTCTTTCAGCCCATCACCCTTTTTCAGCCCGTCACCCTTTTTCAGCCCCTGTCCCCCTCTTTCAGCCCGTCCCCCTCTTTCAGCCCCTGCCCCCTTCTTTCAGCCTCTGCCCCCTTCTTTCAGCCCCTGTCCCCCTTTCAGCCCCTGCCCCCTTCTTTCAGCCTCTGCCCCCTCTTTCAGCCTCCTTCGACCTGAAGCAGCAGCTCCTTCTCAGCAAGCTGAAGGGGAAGGACATTGTCGCCACCGCACGTACCCGCCGCCCACTGAGCCCTGGCCTGCTCGGTGGCCAGAGTGCCACACAACCCCCAGGTGAGCCCAGCTCCGGGGGAGCCACCCCTGCCACCCGGTGCCCAGGGATTGCTGACAGCCTGGCCCCCGCTCCCCTCTCTTCCAGAGCCCTGCCTCCCGTCCCCGAGCCCAGTTCCTGCCAACAGCACACCCGAGCATGTCTCCCCAAGGCTGAGCGCGGGCACATCCTCCCTGCCCCTGCCACCGCCGGCCACCCCACCACCCGCCGAGGAGGAAACCAGCAAGGAAGATGTCATCTTTTTCTAGAAGGGCGTGGCTCGAGGTGCCGGCTGGAGACGGCCCTGCAGACCCCTCCCTCTGAGTCTGCCCACCCTCCTGCCCTCGGGGGTCCCCATGGCCACCTCTCGCCCTCTCCCAGCACACCACCACTGGTGACCGCCGGCCTGTTGGTGCTCTGCCGTCTTGTGCACCCAGCTCTTTCTGTAGGGTTAGCAGCGGCGCCTGGGTAACTTTCTGCACCTTTTTTTCTTCTCAAAACAAGAGTGTTTCGTTGAAGGTTGAACCGGAGCTAAGCCAAGGAGCTGTTTGAAAGCACAGTGGCCCATGTCGGTGGGGGAGATGCCATTTCTCCTGGAGTGTCTGAGGCAGCGGGTCCAAGCACATTTGAGAGGACAGGGCGCCGGTGGCCGTGTCTGTTTGCAGACCTGGCAGATCAACTCCAAAGCAGAGACCTCGTGTTGTGGGTCCATCATGGACCCCAAGATCCAGAGTGTCTCCCAGCCCTCTGAGCTCCTGCAGGGTGGGGTGTCCTCTTGTCCAGCCCACCCACCTGGGGCAGAGCAGGGCCGCGTGGCAGAGTCGGCAGGTCAGAAGCTCGTCCTGAGCCGTGCCAACCGAGCTCGTAGTGAGGTGCCGGGTGGAGCTTTTCCAAGGCGCCCACAAAGTCGGCGCTGCTCTGGGGGCCTCAGGGTTGCCCACTGCTCCGCATTCATCTAGCCTGCTGGGGTAGCTAGCCCAAGAACAATGGTCTGTCGGCCTGGTGGCTCATTGAGCTCGGCCAGGGCACCCCCAGGATCCTGGAATGGGGGCTGTCCCTCGTGCTGCTGGGAAGTCCCCAGGGCCGGAGTTCCTGGCTGGTGGCCCCAGGCCATCCAACGTGGAGGTGTATCCCACACGCCAGGCCTCCGTGTAGTGCAGTGAGCCCACAGGAGGAAGCTTGCAGCCTGCAGCAGCTCCACCCCATTGAGCGTTGCCTTTCTGGGGCAAGGAAGGTGGTGGGGGGCCGTGTCCCCCTCCAGCCAGGCCCGCGTGCCAGCTGTGGCCAAGGCTCAAGCTTGGATGTTGGAGGGCACTTTTCCAGCCTTTTTCTGGACCCCAGGCCTCCCCTGAGCCTGAGCGGTGCCCCTCCTGAGGCTCAGCCAAGGCCTGGGGCCAGGTCCCTGTGAACCCCATAGTCCGGGTGGCTGACGCCGAGCGGCTTCTGGGGGGTGCTGTGTCAAGCACGGACATCTTACAAGGGGGAGGCCTTGTCAGAACAGCTCACCCTGAGACCACCTTCCATCAGCCCCAGACCTGTGTTGGAGCCATGGGGCAGCTACCGGCCAGCATCCTGCCTCAGAGAAGGAACTAAAAGCAGCGGCTCTGAACCTGAGCACAGCACGTGGCTTGGTGTCCCCTGGCCTGTCCACAGGTTCTTCCTGGCCCCCGAGAACCTCTCCACCCACCTTCTGCCGACATCATTCATCCGTCCGGGGGCTGCGGCATCAGCAATGAGCAGATGGAAGCACATCCTTTCCACTGGGGGGAAGCCCAGCTCTTCCCCATTAGCAGCGCTGTGACATGAGCGCACCTGCCCATGGCAGACCTCACCTGGGCCGGTTCTGGGCCGTGTTCGAGGTTTCTCTTTGGAAGCATGTCGGAGCACTTTAGAGCTGACTTTCCATTCCATTTCTGCTGTGAAAGAACATTCCGCAACACTCGGGGCTCACCAGGGCTCCGCAGCCACGATTCCTGGAACCCTAACAAGTTTTGGGCGTTTCCGCGGCCTCGAGGCGGGGACACGCTGCCCACACCTTCTCCCGCCGGGCCTCTGGCCATCCCTCTTAGAGTCTCATTTTATTTGTCAAGTCAGTGGTTGTGCAAACGTTAGCATTTCTGTTGAATCTGTGCACGTCTTTGTTAATTGTGACCATGATCTTCGTCCACCTGACGATTGTTTCTAAGATGATGACAGTTTCCTCACTGGGATTTCAGAACCTCCCTGGGACTTCTGACCTGATTCTAGCAATAAAAGTGTCTAGAGGGAGCTCTGCCTGAAGGGGAAGCCCTTGGTTTTGTTTTAAAATCAACTCCTGTCCAAATAGGGGGGTGCTGTAGCCACGGGCTGGGGAGGGGAACCCGCAAGTGGAAGAGGGTCCTTCTGACGACTTGAGCAACACATGCCCCGCTCCACACCCCTTCTGCTGTGACAAGATCTGGGGGTGCCTGGAGGAACCCTGCACAGCTCCTGCCTTGAGCCGTGGAGCTGAAGAAGGTTCTAGGGATGGCTGCTGCCACATCAGACCTTTGGGAGCTGACCAGGGGGTGCAGGGAGGCTGGGAGCCCTCGGGCAATAGATCTGACTCCACGCAGGGCCCTGCAGGTTAGCCTGCACCAGCTGCCCCTGGACGCCCTGGCAGTGATCACATCTATACACATTATAAGGCTGGTGGTGAGGGGGCTGCAGGGCTCCTAGACAAGCCTCCTACCCCCACGGGCTCCCCTCCCTTCAGGCCTGTCCTGGGGGCCTCAGGATTTCAACCCTCCTCCATGCAGAGCCGCCCGCCCCTCGGTGTGGCTCTGGGGCACCTAGGCCCAAGGTCTCCTTGTCCCCTGTTGGAGCCAAGCGCATCCGTGTCCACACCTGGGCCCTGCCTACGATTCAAGGCCCTCTGAGGGACCCACCGGGATCTCGTTGCCCATACGCAGCCCAGCCTGAGGCTGAACCACCGGCCCCAGAGAAGGGGACTGGGTGGGGGACCACACTGCCAGCGAGGTCCCCGTCTCCCCATCAACTGCCAGCAGCTGGTCACCACAATGCCCACACTGTAGCCGAGCATCACACTTTAGCCCTGGGCTGATACAGAGCCTCCAGGACCCTGTGGTACAGAATTTTTTTTTAATCCAAAATATGCAGAAGAGGGTGTAACTTTAGGTTCTTTTGTGTTAAGAGGCCAGTTATTAACTCCTGATTTCTGCCTTGCTCCAGTGTTATGGATCGTGTTCCCCAAAAATACGTGCAAGTCCTCAACCCCTGTATCTGTGAATGGGACCCTGTTTGGAAATAGTGATGTTTCTTCTGTTATGTTAATGAGGTCATACCAGTGCAGGGTGCATCCTAAACATGATCCCTCTGAGCTATGGAAAGAGCAGGACGGACACAGGCACACGCTGTGGGCGGGGGCAGAGGGGGGCAGACAGACAGATGCATCCACAAGCCCAGGGACACCAAAGGTCTCCCCAGCTACTAGAATGGCCACACCCTGAAGTCCCATTGCCAGCCTCCTGAACCCTGAGAAAATAAATTCCTGTTCTTTAAAGCCACGCATTTGTAGTATTTGTGTTATGGCAACACTAGGTAACTAAGAGGAGCCCTGGTGGCACAGTGGTTAAGAGCTCGGCTGCTAACCAAAAGGTCAGCAGTTGGAATCCACCAGCAGCTCCATGGAAACCCTGTGGGGCAGTTCTGCTCTGTCCTGTAAGGTCGCTATGAGTCGGAATTGACTCGACAGCAACAGGTTTGGGCTTTAGGAACTAAGAGCCCAGTCAGGGTCCAGTCAGGAGAAAACCACCCTGGCGACAGGAACAGAGAGAATTTAATATAAAGAACTGCTGGAGACGCTGGGGGATTCGAACTTTCCGCCTCCTGGTTAGCAGCCAAACACTTAACCACTGAGCCACCAGGGCTGCAACTAGGTATGTTGTTGTTAGGAGCCGTCAAGTTGGTTCCGACTCATAGCGACCCTGTGTACAACAGAACGAAACACTGCTGGTCTTACGCCATCCTCACAATTGTTTTGCTTGAGAGCCCATTTATACAGCCACTGTGTCAATTCATCTCATTGAGGGTCTTCCTCTTTTTCACTGACCCTCCACTTTACCAAGCATGATGTCCTTCTCCAGGGACTGATCCCTCCTGATAACATGTCCAAAGTACGTGAGATGAAGTCTCGCCATCCTTGCTTCTAAGGAGCATTTTGGTTGTACTTCTTCCAAGACAGATCTGTTCATTCTTTTGGCAGTCAATGGTATATTCAATATTCTTCACCAACACGATTCAAAGGCGTCAATTCTTCGGTCTTCCTTATTCATTGTCCAGCTTTCACATGCGTATGAGGTGACTGAAAACACCATGGCTTGGGTCAGACGCACCTTAGTCTTCAAGGTGACATCTTTGCTTTTCAAACTTTAAATAGGTCTTTTGCAGCAGATTTGCCCCATGCAATGCATCTTTTGATTTCTTGACTGCTGCTTCCATGGGTGTTAATTGTGGTTCTAAGTAAAATGAAATCCTTGACAACTTCAATCTTTTCTCCATTTATCATGATGTTGCTTATTGGTCCAGGTGTGAGGATTTTTGTTTTATGTTGAGATGTAATCCATACCAAAGGCTGTGGTCTTTGATCTTCATCAGCAAGCAAGGTTGTGTCATCTGCATAACGCAGGTTGTTAATGAGTCTTTCTCAGATCCTGATGCCGTGTTCTTCATACAGTCCAGTTTCTCGGATTATTGTCTCAGCATACAGATTGAATAGTTATGGTGAAAGGATACAGCCCTGATGCACACCTTTCCTGACTTTAAACCACACGGTATCCCCTTGTTCTGTTCAAATGACTGCCTCTTGGTCTATGTACAGGTTCCTCATGAGTACAATTAAGTGTTCTGGTATAGAATTGTTAATTCAATAACTGGAAATGTAAAAAGAGAATGCTGTCTTAGTCATCTAGTGCTGCTATAACAAATACCACAATTGTTTGGCTTTAACAAAGAGAAATTTATTTTCGCACAGTCTAGTAGGCTAGAAGTCCAAATTCCGGGTGTCAGCTCCAGGGGAAGGCTTTCTCTCTGTCAGCTCAGAGGAAGGTCCCTGTCATCAATCTTCTTAGCCTGGTCAAGGAGCTTCTCGGCACAGGAACCTCGGGTCCACGGGATGCGCTATGCTCCTGGCTCTTGTTTCTTGGTGGTACGAGGTTCCCATGTCTCTCTGCTCACTTCTTTCTTTTATATCTCAAAAGAGATTGGCTCAAGACACAATCTAATCTTGTAGATTGAGTCCTGCCTCATTAACATAACTGCCGATAATCCCATCTCATTAACATCATGGAGACAGGATTTACAACACTTAGGAAAATCACATCAGATGACAAAATGGTGGACAATCACACAATACTGGGAATCATGGCCTAGCCAAATCGATACACATATTTTTGGGGGACACAATTCAATCCAATCCGTAACAAATGCTAAAGCAGATTCCAACAGAAACATACAATCCAAGCCACAAAGGAGATTTTTAACTTTCTAGTAAACCTGTTGCCACTTAATCGATTCCAACTCATAGGGTTTCCAACTCTCTAGTAGTGACATTAAAAAAAGTAAAAAGAAACAGGTGAAAGTGAAAATGTATTTTACTTAACCCAATATATCCAAAATACTAGCACTGCAACAAGTACTATCATTGGAGCCCTGGTGGCACAGTGGTTAAGAGCTTAGCTGCTAACCAAAAGGTCGGCAGTTCAAATCCACCAGCTGCTCCTTGGAAACCTTATGGGGCAGTTCTACCCTCTCCTATAGGGTCACTACAGCAACGGGTAAATAATTGTTGCAACATGTAATCAATATGAAAATTATTGAGGTATTTTTCCATTCTGTATTTAAGTCTTCCGAGTCTGGTGCGTACTTTATGCCTACAGCACACCTCAGCGCAGGCAAGCCTTGTTTCCAGTGCTCAGTAGCCACATGTGGCCAGCAGCCGTGAAGTCCAGGCGCCCACCACAGGTGGCCACCACCTCTCCTAGGGCTGGGAGAGCAAAGGGAATCTTGGGGGACAGGCCTCATGGAGCCGAAACTCAGGCCCCTGAGGTGGGGCACTGGCCAGTCGGTCAGTGCTGGTGACTCTGGGGGCAGCCATGATGAGCCTGATCCTGCAGGCTCTGGTAACACTGCAGACTTCTGCCACCACTTCCAAGATGAGCCAGCAGGCGGCGCAAGTTCTCTGTCCTGAGGACCCTGGAGCTCCCTTTAGCAGTCCTTCCTGGCCACCCAACAGAGAGCAGCCAGCAAGGTAGAAATGTGGTTTGTGAGTCCCCACCCCAGCCTCACAGCACAGAAAATCCAGAAACCAAACCTGTTGACGCAGAGTTGACTCCAACTCATGACGACCCTACGTGTTAGAGTAGAACTGCTCCATAGAGTTTTCTTGGCTGTGATCTTTATGGAAAGATTGCCAGGCCTTTCTTCCACAGCATGGTTGGGCCAGTTTGAACCGCCAACCTTTTGGTTAGTAGTCGAGCACAAACTGCGCTATGCAAGGACCTTCAGAGCACAGAAGGAGCAGAGAAACAGCTTAGGAATCAGCCAACCTAAACATGGCCCAGCCAATGCACCCTCTTTCTGAAGAGCCAGGATGGAAAGAAACTTTGGTTCCCCAAAAACAATAATGGGGGAGTGCGGCGGGGGCAATGGATGCAGACTAAGCCCCTACCCTCTCACCGCAGTGTTGGGTTGCAGAGGCAACAGGAGGGGCAAACGTTTTTAAATCACTTCATTACCCAGTGTTGGCGCCAACTGCTCACCAACTGAAGTACTAGCAAGGGCCAGGGGCCAAGACAGACACAGTAATAATAATCCCTTTAAACACCCATGGTGGTCCCGGGGGCTCACTGAGGGAGGATGTCTGAGCTCCACACACTCACTCAGGGCATTGGAAGATTTTCTCCCTTTGTTTTTTTAACTCCCCACGCTCCCCTGCCCCACGGGGTCCCTGGTAACCACTCGTCTTCATCTCAATGGTTTTGCCTATCCTAGATACTTCATGTAAGTACAGTCACACAATGTTCATGTAAGTACAATCACATGATACTGGTCTTTTTGTGTCTTTCCCCTTTTTTGGGGTGTCGTTTTTGTTGTTATTAGCTGCCGAGTTGGCGCTAACTCATGGCGACCTTACATATGCCAGGACAAAATGTTGCCCGGCCCTCCACCATCTTCATGATCGTTGGTACGTTTGAGTCCACTGTTGTGGCTACGCTGTCAATCCATCTCATGAAGGGCTTCCCTTGTTTTCACTGACCCTCTACCAACCATGATGTCTCCTTTTCTAGTAATTGGTCTTTCCTGTCGGTATGTTCAAAGTAAGTGAGCCAAAGTCTCGCCACCCTCACTTCTGAAATGTACAGATGTCAGTGTACCGGGAGACAGTTTCTGGCAAATGTGCGCACTCAGGGATCCCACACCCCAATCAAGACAGAGAACATTTTCTCCACCCAGAATCCTCCCTCCTGGCCCTGTCCCGGCAGGCTCCCACCCCCAGACCCCACAGGTCTGCTTCAGGTCACGTAGATCGGTTCTGCTTGTTCTAGAACTTCACACGATGGAATCGTGTGGTACGTAGTCTTCAGTGCTGGCCCAGTCCCGCAGCCCAGTGACTGTTGCGTGTTGCTGAGTGTGGTTGCGTGTCAGTAGCTCATTCCTTGTTATCGCTGAGTAGTTGTGTGGATGGACCACAAGTTTAGCCACTTCCTGATGATGGACACCTGGGTCTGTCTGTCTGTCTCTCACTAACCCGGCCAAGCTCACAGTAGAATTTGAAGAGTGGTCTCCCTTCGTTGGGGTCAAAGACATGTTGACTATCTGATGAGAGCAGGATCCCTGTCACAGAAAGATGCACGCTGTCTCCACGTCACCATCCCATTGGTTCCAGGCACCAGCTCAGGTGCCCCACCACAGGAGACACTGGGATGCAGTCAGATGGGAAGGTGGGGTGGGGGCGGCAGAGAAAACGGGCCATGAGTGTGGGTCTGAGGCCAGCAGCTGTGTCTGCCATCCCGGCCAGCCCAATGGCCCAGGCCCACGGGACGCCAGCCTCCTGGAGTGCCTCGGGCTGTCCAGCTCGCTCATCTGGACCCTGCTGCTTCTCCTCCTCAGGCTGGCACACGAACCCAGGATGCCCCCAGACTTCCTCAGCACAACTCCATGGGCCCCTGGGAGATCTGCGAACACCCTGAAACCATGTGTGCATTTTCTGCAAAGAGGACTGTGGCCTCAAAGGGGTCTGCTCCCAGCCCCCAAAAGGTTTACACCCACTGGCCCAGGATGCAGGAGGGCAGCGGCTGCAGCGAGCACAATAACCTCACACCTGGGCCAGCGCCAGCCCCACAGATCATGTTTATTCTGCCCAAGCTTTCTCCCAGAAGGCCTCTCCTGCCTGCCTTTCCCTGACACAATACCTCTGCTGGCCCGCCCTGCAAAGCTCACAGCTGCCTCTCCTGTCCCAGGGTGCACTGACCCGGTCCTTCCCCAGGGCCCAGAGTGAAGCTGCCAGGGAGGCCTCACACCCGCGCCCACTCGACAGGTGAATGGGTGGCTTGGGCAAGGCTTTCACTGCTCCAAGCTTCATCTCCCTCCACCCAGCACTGGTTTGCTCAGTTCCAGACCCAGCCCCTTGCCCTGGTGATGGCTGTGTGTGGCATTGGGCCCTGGGTGGTTCCAGCTGCGCACCCGGCTCCTCTAGCCAAGTCAGGAGCTGGCGGCGTCAGCCTGGTTGTCGCGGGCCCTGACGGCCTGATACACGCTGAGGAGGGAGGACACGGTGCCCAGGAGGCCCACCAGCCATGGGGGGAAGCAGCCAGCCCACAGCACCCCCGGGGGCAGCCAGTGCACGGCGTTGGCCAGGTCAGCCAGGTTGCTGAGCACGGTCAGCGTCTCCGACCGTATCTGTGCCTCCAGGGTCCTCCGCTTGCTCCGGGGCGGCCACCTGCAGGGAGCAAAGGGACACACTTGCACCTGTGGCCGCCAGGCAGGGAGGGAGTGCCAACAGGCCGCCGTGAATGAGAAGCACCACGGGGCCAAGGTGCCATCCCTGACCTTCCCACAGAGTCAGTCCCCGGCACACGCTCAGAGGGAGTCCCCAGCACAGACAGGGCATGGACAGGGGCGTGAGTGTCAAATCCACACCTCAGTCCTCCCGACCCCCCGAGATGGGCAGGGAGGCGGGTGGGGGTTGGTTGGTGGGAAGCTTCTGGACCCGTGACCCGAGCCAGGTCCTGGTCTGGTCATTGCCACCCTGAGGTGCAGCCACCTGGTGGGCCTGTGGGAGGGACAGGGACCCCTCAGCCGGCAAACCTCAGGCTGGACGGCACAGACCCTCGACAAAGTCACCTCCTTTCCCAGCATGAGCGAGTGACAATGTCCTTGGGAGATCAGCCCCGCCCTGGAGTCCTCACCAGCCACGTCTTGGCTGTGGCTTCTGGAGCAAGCCTCAGTTTCCCCATCTGTAAAAGGTACTGCACCCTCCCTGGGCGGACCTGTGACCCAGTGCCCATTACGCACCAACTCCGGGTCAGGCATGTAGCAGGGCTGATAACAGTGGGGACTCTGGGCAGCTCCCCTGAGAACCCGCAGGAGCAGATTGGGGGCATGGAGGAAGGAGGCCTGTCTGTCTCCTGGGGGGATGCCAGAAGCGTACCCAGGAAAGGCCACTGTGGGACTCCTCAGCCTCCGCCTCAGCTTCAACACCATCCACAGGGACCTGCAACACCAGAGAGGAGAGGGGACCCGTGGGAGAGGCATGAGGGCCAGTGGCTCCGCCTCCTGTCACTGCGGCCTCTGTCCCCTGGAGGTCTGCCAAGCTCACGGAAAGGCAGCCCCTCCCTTTCCCCACCACCATGGTCCTGCACCTCCCAGAGCTCCAGGCCCTCTGCACCAGATTCAGGGGTGTCTGTTCCTTCTGGTGTGACCACCAGGCCCCACCTGGCCTCTGCGAACCACTGGCCAAGGGCCCACAGCTCAAAGGAACGCCAGGCCGGCCTGCCTCACCCTCCCTCCACGCAGAATGCTTACAGCTGAGCACACCAAGGCCGCCCACCGGACTGGCTGCCAAACAAATGGACGGCCCTGGGGAAGCTGCTTTTTCTCTCCAAGCCACGCCTGCCCCCGACACACACACAGAGACATACAGAAATACACGCCACACACACAGATACAGTCACACGCCATGGACACTGGCCAGACCTTCCTGAGACGCCCTAGGCCCCAGGGGCTGGCGTCTGCAGGCTGAGGCTGTGGCCGGGGCTGTGGAGCATATGGGTGACCAGTGTCCCTGGCCCAGGCAGAGCATGACTCTGCTGGCTGGAGGACTTCCCAGCTGGGAGCTCCAGGGCCTGGTCCCATCCCCTGACCACCGTGCAAGACCTGTCTGTGGACCTATCCAGGTGACATGTCCCCAGAGGGTATGGGACACAGGGCAGCACCTGCAGTGTGGTAAGCGGATCTGCTTCAGGGTCACCTGGGGGACTCAGCCAAGGTGCTGATTCCTGGGCCCCTCAGACCCCGGAACCAGAAATTCTAGTGCCTGGCCCAGGCATCTGCATTTTAACAACCTTCCAAGTGACTCTCCGGCACCACCCTGGGGTCCTGAGGACAAACACACACACTGAGCGGTCCCCACCCCCGCACCCTTGCTCCCACCACACCCACAGAAATGGCAGGAAAACCACACTCCCCAGAAAAGAAGGGAACCAGCAAGCACGGCCCCACCACTTCCTCTGTGGGGCCCTCGGCTGAAGGAGCCCAGCGGGCGTGTCAGTGAGCTGAGAACCACAGGGGACGCTGGAGACGCAGTGAGGGACCCGGGAACACTGAAGCCCTGACCCCAGGTATCTTAGCTCAGGAGGAAAAGCCACAGTGTGAAGGGAAAAGGAAGACTCGTTACAGTGAAGGGTGACCACAGACTCGGCTAGACAACAAATTTCCAAAGGCCAAGGTGATGAGGAAGATGCAGAAATGCGAGGCTGCAGACGGAGAAAGCGTGGCTAGAGAAGGACCCATCGAGGAAAAGCCAAGTGCAAAACCCACCATGCCGTTCACAGCCGGGTATGTCCAACCTGCAACTGCTTGGCAGATCCAAGCCCTGTGACTCTGCCTCCCACTGCTGCCGGTCCTCCACCTCCTGACTTAGTACTGAAAGGCATAAAAGCCAGCTGCCCTGGAGTCAACTCCCACTCCTGCTGGCCCCCTGTGTGCAGAGGAGAACTGTGCTCCATGCAGTTTCCAATGGCTGGTCTTCCAAGGCACCTCTGGGTGGACTCAAACTTCCAACCTTTCAGTTAGCCGAGCGCTTAACCATTTGTACCACCCACCCCGGTTACAATTACAACAGAGCCGGCAGGCATTGGTGGTTCAGTAGTGGCATTTCCGCTTTCCATGCGGGAGACTAGGGTTTGGTTCCCGGCCAATGAGCCTCACGCACAGCCACCACCTGTCTGTCCACGGAGGCTTGTGTGCTGCTGGGATGATGAACAGGTTTCATTCAGCAGAGCTTCCAGACCAAGACAGACTAGACAGAAAGGCCTGGTGATCTACTTCCGGAAATCAGCCCATGACAACCCTACCGATCACAATGGTCTGACCGGGCAGGGTCTCGTTCCATGGTGCAGTGGGTCTCCAGGAGTCAGGGACTGACTCGGAGGCCGCTAACGACAACATAATAGAGTGGAATCAGGGCTGCTCAGAAAACAGGAACAGAGAGCCTCTCTTGACCAGAGGTCCCAAGGATCCCGAGGAGGTGGCGGATGAGAGGTCACATGCCAAAGCTTCCTGGAACCGCGGCCCCAAGAGCGTCCACAGCCCAGCGTGGGCACCAACCAGGGGGCGTCCGAGTACACGGGAAGGTCGAGGCCTGGACAGAGACACAGCGCCGGCAAGATTACAACCATGGAGACGGGAGCCTCAGAGAGCGAGGAGGGACCACGTTCCGGGGACCAGGAGAGCGTGAGACAGTACAAGGGAGCCGGCAGAGGGAACACAAGAGGCTGGAAAGAATCACCGAGATGCGGCTAGAGAGGCTCTCTGGGTCGGATGGAGGGGGATTTTGATCTTCCACTTTCGGGGGTCTCTACACCCCAGATTGGTTTAAGAAGCATGTAATTCAGGCTTCTGTAACGGAGGAAAGAGAATGACTACGCATCAGAGGTCAGGGACAACTGACAGCAGACCTGGGACACCCCCCACCCCAAGTGCTTCAGGACCAAGGAAGTGCAGCCACCCCAGAGGTCGGGGGGCTGCACCTCCCTTCACGGAGCAGAGAGACCCTCACTGCCATTCAAATGCAGGGACTCAGGGACCTGCTTCTCCTATGTTCTCTGGGGCAGGGGACTCTGAGCAAACGGACTCAGCGAGCTGGCCAAGAGGAGAACGTGTGGGAGGAAACCGTGACCTTAAAGTTTTTAGGAACCATGTGGTTTTGGGGAAGCATGGGGCCATTCCGGAAACCCCTAGCTGTTTGATTTGGGGATGTCTGCTGACACCAGCATAGGCAGGATTGGGGGACCTGGGTCAAAACTGCCACACCAGCCGCTCCTCTCCAGGCCCTGGCGTTATTTCTTCTTCCTGGGTGTGGCAGAGAGAACAATGCCCACCCCCCAAGATGTCCATGTCCTAATCCCCAGAATCTGTAAACGTGGTGCCTGACATGGCAAAACGGACTTTGCAGATGTGATTAAATTAAGAACCTTGAAATGAGAGACGATCCTGGGTTGTCTGGATGGGCCCACTGTCATCCCCAGGGTCTTATTAGAGGGAAGCAGGAGGGTTAGGGGAGATGTGACAATGTAAGCAGAGGCTGGAAGGATATGCTCTGAAGATGGAGGGGGCCACAAGCCAAGGAATGTGGATGGCCACTAGAAGCTGGAAAAGGCAAGGGAATAGATTCTTCTCTCGAGCCTCCAGAAGGAACACAGCCCTGCTGACACCTTGATCTGAACCCAGTGAGACCCGTTCTGGACTTCAGACCTCCAGAACTGTGAGATCATAGATGTGTATTGTCTGAAGTCACTCAGTTCGAGGTTGTTTGTTACAGACACTCATACAGGGGGGGGCAACAAAAGGAAGAACAGCAGAAGAGATAAAGGCCCACAGACCCTGCGAGGACCCTGCCAGGGGCCACCGGCCACACTGAGAGTGTCCTGCAGCACCACTTACCTGGCGATGCCCAGGAGCAGGGAGAGGCCCCAGAACGCTGTGCTCAGCGCCCACCAGTGGGCGGCGTCCACATGGAGGATCTTGGCGTCAGCAGCCCAGGCGACGTGCTCACAGGGGTAGTATAGCTGGTCCGCCAGGTTGCCCAGAACAGACACCCAGCGGACAAAGAGGTCCTCCTCCTGCAGGACAGGAGTGGGCACATCTGGGCCTGGGGTCAGCCGACCACGTCCCTTTTTTTTTTTAAATTGTGTTTTAGGTGAAAGTTTATAGCACAAATTCATTTCTCATTCAAAATGCATACACAAACTGTTTTGTGACGTTGGCTGCAACCTCTGCAATGGGTCAGCACTCTCCCCCTTTCCACCCCAGGTTCTCCGTGTCCCTTCGTCCAGTTTTCCTGTCCCTTCCTGCCTTCTTGTCTTTGCTTTTGGGCAGGTGTTGCCCATTTGGTCTCATATACTTGATTGAACTAAGCAGCACATTCCTCACATGCGTTATTGTTTGTTTTACAGGCCTGTCTAATCTTTGGCTGAAAGGCGGACTACAGGAGTGGCTTCAGTTCCGAGTTAGCGGGGAGTCTGGGGCCATAGTCTCCAGCGTTCCTCCAGTCTCTGTTAGACCAGTAAGTCTGGTCTTTTTTTGTGAATTTGAATTTTGTTCCACATTTTCCTCCCACTCTCCAGGACCCTCTATTGTGATCCTTGTCAGAGCGGTTGGTGGTGGGAGCCGGGCACCATCTAGTTATGGGCTCAGGCTGGTGAAGGCTCTGGTTCCTGTGGTCCTTTAGTCCTTCCACAGCCCATTTAGTGGCTGTGGCCATGCCAAGTGCCCACCTGTTGGTGGTGCCTCCCGCCACAGTGGCAAGGGCACTGTTCAGGCTGCGTAGGCTGGCCCCTGCAGGGGAAGCAGGCTGCAGGGGTAGGCACGCAGCAGTGCGGTGCTCAGCGCCCACCGAAGCAGCGGTCTCCACTTGGCTGCACATGGAAACCCCACCCCAGGAAGCCCGGCTGCCTGGGCGCCACCCCGGGACATTCCGACTCCCACGGTCTGGTTGGGGCCTGAGCACTGGGAGGTTTTTAAGTTCCCACGTGATTCCAGTGCACAGCTGAGCTGAGCCCCACTGCATGAGAGCTGCCTCCCCCAAGGCCCCTGTTCCTGCACCTGTACCGGCTCTCCACCCAGCTCTGACTGACCCTGAGAGGGGAGGAGGGGTGTGTGAGGCTTGCTGACTTTCCCCAAGCCGGACAGGGGTCACAACTCCCACGGTTGAGCAAACTGAAGCCCTTATGTAAGTTGCCTGCCTAGCTCACACAGGGACAGCCCTCTAGGCCGCCAAATTCCAGAGCCCCCTGTGGACTCTCTGTCCTGCACGGTGCCCGTGTCCTCTGCCTCCACCTTCGTATAACCATGGCCTAGACCAAGCCCCACAGGACCAGCTGAGGCCACAGCAGCGGGTCCCCAGGCAGCACCCTCCCTCACTGCCAGCATACCTCGCCCTTCTCTCTTCCTCCAGAACCCCTGTCAGGCCCCCACTGACGCTTGGTGATACTGCCCCCCTCCTTCTTCTGGCCAGCAGCGATGTGCCTCTCACGAACTCCACTCCATGCTCCCCCAGTCTGTCCCGGACCCTCAGGGGCATTGTGGCATATTTTCATACCTCCCTCAGGACAGGGACCCCAACCCCAATGCGTCTGTTGCATACGTGTTTCCTGAGAAGCTGCAGGGTCCAGGCGCTATACTGCAGAGGGGGAGAAGCGCATGGGGGTGACAGGGGCACAGACACATAAACACGGCCCCAGCAAACAAAAGGGGCTCTTGTTCTGGCAGAGATATGGGGGTATCTCGGGGTAAGTGTAGGAGGTGCCCCAATCAGACCAAGAGGAGGAGAAGGAGATGGGTGGGCCCGGCCGAGGGGCACACGAGCAGACTGGTGGGGCATCTGAGCAGCAGCGAGGGGCACAGAGAGAAGATCCTGGAGGGCAGCCCGGGAGGGCAGCCTCAGTGGGGCTGCAGGCCTGGCTCTGGGGGCCTTTCCCTGTGCCCTCGCCCAGTGCAGGGCCAGGTTTACAGCAGGCACCTGATGGAAGTTTGAAGTAAGGGATTGACCAGTGACTGTCCACCAGGTCACCCTGCAGTGATCCTCTGCACTCTGACCCGGGCTTTCGCAGCCACGGGAGTGTGCATCGATCTGACGTCAGTGGAGGGCAGGGAGGCAAAGTCCACCAGAAGTACAACCTGCGCCCTCAAGCTGGCGACGCTGCCTCTACAGGCACATCCTGCAGGGCAGGTTTCTCCCCTGCAGCACTGCTGAAGCTTGGAGCCGGATCATTCTCTGGAGGGGAGGGGCCCTGGCCTCCACCCACTTGATGCCAGTAGCACAGTCCCCCAAAGCTATGACAATACACAATGTCTCCAGAAATCGCCTAGGGACTCCCGGTCCCTTCACAGAGGAGATGGGTATATGTGTGTGTAGGGTGGGGAGGGGTGTCTCTCAGGATGCACAGGAAGCGCCCCAGTCAAAGACCACAACGGGGAGAAACTGGGGGGAAGGTCCAGGGACGCACACATCATTTGGGGTGGCCAGGCCTGGGGGCATGGCGAGAAGCATCTGAGCAGTAAGGGGCTCAGAGAGCAGACCGCTGGGAGGGCAGCCACGGAGGGGTGTGCCTCGGTGGGGCTGGCCCAGAGCACCCTCCCAGGCTAGCCCCTGGGAAAATGTCCCCTGGGGGCAAGACCACTCGCAGGGGAGAAGCACAGCTGTAGATATAAGAGCACACTCATGGAATGAGGCAGGGCCAAGGTGCCCCCTCACCCACGGTACTGTTGTAATGGCAAAATACGACAAATAATCGCCACGCACATCAACTGGTTAAAGAATTCAAGGCCAGACCACCACCCATCTGTCCTTTTTTTGTACTGTGGTGGCTTGCATGTTGCTATATTGCTGGAAGCTATACTACCAGTATTTCAAATGCTAGCAGGGTCACCCATCCATGGTGGACAGGTTTCAGCTGAGCTTCCAGACTAAGACAGACTAGAAAGAAAATCCTGGCGATCTACTTCTGAAAATCAGCCAATGAAAACCCTATGGATCACAAAAGAATATTATTCAATACAGCGCTGGAAGATGAGTCCCCTAGCTTGGAAGGCGCTCAAAACACACAGTAGCCGCAACCATGGACTCAAGCAGACAAGGATCACGAAGATGGCGCAGGACCAGGCAATGTTTCATTCTTTTGTACATGAGGTCGCTATGAGCTGGAGCCAACTCGGCAGCAACTAAAAACAACAACAGTGTGGCCAGAAAGAACGAAGCAGCACTTTTTCCGCTAACATGGAATAATCTCCTAGAAGCACATGGCAGAACAGTGTAAACAGCACACAACTATTTATGTAAACAATGTATATTTGCTTGAGTAAGGTCCCTGGGTGGTACAAATGGTTCGCACTCAACTTCTAACCTAAGGGTTGGTGGTTCAAACTCAACCAGGGGTGCCACAGAAGAAAGGGCTGGCAATGTGCTTCCATAAAGATTACAGTTAAGACAACCCTATGGAGCAGGTTCTCCTCCATGACATGGGGTTGCTCTGAGACAGAATCAACTCAACGATGGGTTTGGTTGTTGGTTTATTTGCTTGGGTAGCTACAAGGAATCTCAAGCATGAGACACAAGAAGCCAACCAGAGTGGTTGCCTCTAAGGAGGAAAGTGCAGGGCCTAGAGGACCAGGGAAGAGGGAGACATTTTACTACATACTCTTTGAACCTTCTGAATCTGGAATGTATAAATATATTTGCTATTTCTTTTTTTAATTTTAAATTGAGAACATCTGATCATCTCAAAAAAGAAATTGAAAAAAAAAAAGGAAAGAAACTCCATACAGGTTGATAAAACAGTGATGGAGGCCTGCACCCCCTTCCCCGTAGCCTCATGACACCCCATTACCTCTGTCCCCAAGCCATACTGCTTAGTGTAGGCAAACATGGCCAGGTCGTCAAAGAGTCGCAGGACTGTCCTACAGCGGCTGAGCTGGGCGGACAACGCCAGCAGGCGCGTCCCCACATCTGACTTGGCCGGGCATTGTTCCACCAACACCCCGCCGACCAGCTGGCAGCAGTAACCCAGCGTTCGGATCTGCAGGAAACCAGAGATAGTCAGTAGGACACTGCTCCTCTCCTGGGCTGAATCACCCCAACCTGGCCCCGTAGGATCAAGCACGTGGAAGATTCTAGATCACTAAACTTCCAATAAAAGCTGAAAGTTTAAAAAGACACCCATAGGTGGGACAAATGGAGAAACATGACATCATCGTTGAAAAGGCACCATCGAAGAGTCTCACAGAGTGCTGGCTTGTGTCACCAGGGGCCACAGCCTTTGGAGACGGATGTGACAGGGACAAGAAACCGAAATCCCCATTTTCCACCTTCTGGATCCTCCTTTATCCAACAGACAGGAGGACTAGGCTGAAATGTATGTTTACATCTACCTAGGTGGACCAAGGAGTCCCTGGGTGGTGCAAATGGTTAACATGCTCAGCTGCAAAATGAAAGGTTGCAGGTTTGAATCTACCCACAGGCACCTCGGAAGAAAGCCCTGGCAATCTACTTCCAAAAAATCAGTCACTGAAAACCCAACGGAGCACAGATCTACTCTGACACACATGGAGTCACCACGAGCTGGAATCGACTCCAAGGCAGCAGTTTTTTTAGCTGGACCAAAGCTGGGCTGGGGGCTGGGAAACAAGCCATCTGGCCGCAACCCAGTGAACAAAATGCTAATTTGCTTGAATTACTTTAGTGAAAAGGAGCCCACTCAGTAGGTGATTTGGAGCATTGTAAACTGGGTTAGGTTTACCACGGTTATATCTTTAATTATTTCATCTGTTTTTCAGAAATTGCTTTTTTCCTGTTGTTCTACATAGTATTTTAACTTGTAATTCCTTTTCAGCCCCTTTGTAATGGCAAAACACTACAATCGAAATGCTCCACTTGGGATTTGTTAAAAGCTGAATGCCCAATCATAGTGGGTTTAGTTGGGACCTGAATGCCCAGCCAGGTATATTCCCTAGTACAATGTAAATGCCTACCTCTAGAGAATTGGTCGGGACTGAGGCCAACCTCCGGGGCCCAGGTGGAACAACCTAAGTGCCCAACTAGAGGGGATTTGGTTGGAACTTAAATGTCCAGCTAATGGGGGATACTGCAGCATCCTAAATCCCTATGTGAGATTGTTTAGGAGAACCCAGAGACCAACTACAGGGGCCTGGTCAGATCCTAAATGTCCAACCGTAGGAATTTGGTTGGTATGTAAAATGTCCAGCAGGTTAGGTTGGCCGGGACGACCCAAACAGCCAATGATAGGGGATACGGTTAGAACCTAAATCTACGGGGGATTTGGTTAGCACCCACCATGGCTGGGCCCGCCAACTACAGGAGTGTGGCCATGGTGGTTCCTTGGTACTAGGTTGGCTGGAACAACCTAAATGCTCAACTATAGGGAATTTGGTCGGAACCTCAACGCGGGAGACCTGCTGTATCCTAAATCCCTACATGAGAGACTTCCGGACAATCCGGGGACCAACAACAGAGACCTGGTCAGAGATCAGGTCAATGGTGGGGATTTAGTTGGTATGTAAAATGTCCAACCCGTTTGCGTTGGTTGGAACCACCCACATGTCCAACACTAGAGGACCGGGTTCGAGCCCAGCTTGAACAGGGCCTCTTCGACGGGGATTCTTGAGCGACCCCACCCCCTCTCTGGGCCTCAGCTTTCTAGTCTCTGACTTTTGACTGAACTCTAAGACCTTCGGCCCCGCTCCGCCGCGACTTCTGCGAAGCCGGTTCACGCAAAGCGGGGAGGACGGCCGTCCGGGGTCGCCCCTCACCGGCCCGAGCCCGTCCGGACCCAGCCTCACCAGGCGGTCCCGGCCCCTGTACGACTCCAGCGCCGAAGCCAAGCCACTCAGCGACGCCATGGCAACTCCGCCATGACGTCAGCGCGGCGCGCCAGGAGTCGGGTCTCGGGCGCGCGCGCACTGTGCGCAGGCGCGGCCGCGGCTCTTTGTCCCCGCGTTGGCGCTTTGTCTGCGTTGGGGAGGGAGTGCAGGCTCGGGCGGCCACGTGTGAGCTCCTCGGGCCTGTGGCTCCAAGTTGGTCCTGGGAGTTCGCTGCTGCCCCTCGGCGGCTTGTCTTTTCAAACTACCCACACAAAAAAATTCCAAGCAAAAACACCAACCTGTTACAGTGTTCAAGGACGGACTTTTCTTTTTCTGCTTATCGACATTTTCTATTTTTTCTATCCTGAGCGTGTATTACTGTTTAGAAAGTTAAGAGAATGCATAGACTATTTATAGAAAAATAGACAGGAATCTGCTGTCATTGCTCCAGGAACAGTAACCGGGTGGCTGGGAAGAGGAGATTTGGTTTTCACCTTTATACTTCTTGTAGCTTTTGAATTTTATATAATGCTCGTGGATTATCTCTTCCAAAAGTCAACTAAAATTCTTCAAAAAGTTAACATGACCATTTTTCTTCTTTTTTTTTTAATTGCGGTAAAGTTCACATAACAAAATTCAACATTTTAAATGTACAATTGAGTGCCATTTAGTACATTCACGTGCAAACAGTTTGCAGTGGGCTACTAACTAAAAGGTTAGCGGTTCAAACCCACCCAGCGGCGCTGCAGAAGAATGGCCTGGCGATCTGCTTCAGTAAAGATTACAACCAAGAAAACCCCATGGAGCACAGTTCTACACTAACACATGGGATTGCCATGAGTCTAAATTGACTCAGAGGCAACAGGTTTGGGTTTTTGTTTTGTTTTGCTTCGGGGAGAGTTGGTTAAATACACTCACAATGTTGTGCAACATCACCTGTTTCTAGTTCCAAAACATCTCATCACCTTAAGAGGATCCCCTATCAATGAAGTAGTCATCTCTTCCCCTACGCCCCGTTGTTGTTTGCTGCTGTGGAGTCGGCCCTCGACTCACAGCGACCCTATTAACAGAACGAAATGCTGCCTGGTCCTGCGCCATCCCCATGACTGGTTGTGGATAGGACTGTTGTGATCCATAGTGTTTTCACTGGCTGATTATTGGAAATACATATCCAGGCCTTTCTTCCTAGTCTGTTTTAGTCTGGAAGCTCCACTGAAACCTGTTGAGCATCATAGCAGCACACAAGGCTTCGCTGACAAATGGGTGGTGGCTGCACATGAGGTGCATTGACTGGGAATCGAATCCGGGTCTCCCCTGTGGAAGGCGAGACTTCTATCACTGAACCACCAACTAATGTCCTGTAACATAACTATATGTTTTTATTATTTATCTAGTTATTTGCCTCTCTCTTCTCCACAATGTGGACTCCACCAGGGCAGAGACTTTGATCTTTCTTCTGTCCCTACAACCTGCCACAAAATAGATTCTCAATAGGTGTTGGGTGCCCTTGGAACTCAGCTCCCATCTACAGCTCTCTTCTCATGCTCCACGCTGTCCTTGGAGAGCTGGGCCACTCCCATGGCTCCTGTGGCCACCTCTTTGCTGGCCTCTCCCACTTCTGTCTCCCACCCTGACGTGTCCCCTACTCCCATCTGCCTGCTGCTACCAACTCCCAGTGTGATTACGTGGGCCCCATAGAGGGTGAGGGAGCTGTCCAAGGTCACACAGGGTCCATCATCTTTCTCTGTGCAGGGATGGGGCCTCGGAACATCCTGGATGTGGGGGTTCCCCTGATGCCATGTGGTCCTGCAGCTGCCACCACTGACTGTCCATTTCCCTTGGACATTGCATAAGCCCCTCATGTACAGCAAATTCCAGCCCAACCTCAGTATCATCCCCCGAATCTCCTCCTGTCCCAAGTCTTCATCACAGGGGCAGCCCCACCATCTACCCAGTCACCCAGCCACAGACCTCAACACGTGCCCACTCCTTCCGTCTGCCCTCACCCCCAACCCCATATTAGTCTCCTAAGGCTGCCATCATGAAGTACCACAAACTGGGTGGCTTAGAACAACAGAAACTTATTGTCTAACAGCTCTGCAGGCTAAAGTCTGAAATCAAGCTGTCAGCAGGGCCGTGCTCTCTCTGAAGGCTCTAGGGAAGGGTCTTTCCATGCCTTTTCCAGCTTCTGGTGGTTCCCGGCAATCCTTGGCATTCCTTGGCTTGTAGACCCTTCAATCTCTGCCTCCGTCGTCACACGGACTTCTCCCTTTTTTTTCAATTATGATCATCTTTTTAAACTTTATTGTGCTTCGAAGATACTCCACTGGTCCCACCCCATCTGGAGCAAGGGAGAATGAAGAAAACCGAAGAAACAAGGGAAAGATTAGTCCAAAGGATTAATGAACCACAACTACCACAGCCTCCACCAGACTGAGCCCAGCGTAAGTAGATGGTGCCCGGCTTCCACCACCAACAGCTTTGACAGGGATCACAATAGACAGTCCTGGACAGAGCTGGAGAAAAATTCTAACTCACAAAAAAAGACCAGGCTTACTGGTCTGACAGATACTGGAGAAATCCTGAGAGTATGGCCCCTGGACATCCTTTTAACTCAGTACTGTAGTCACTCCTGACGGTCACCCTTCAGCCAAAGATTAAACAGGCCCATAAAACAAAACAAGACTGAAAGGCACACTAGCCCAGGGGCAAGGACGAGAAGGCAGGAGGGGACAGGAAAGGTCCAGAAGTGGAGAGAGTTGACATGTCATGGGGTTGGCAACCAATGTCACAAAACAATATGTGTATTAATTGTTTAATGAGAAACTGATTTGCTCTGTAAACCTTCATCTAAAGCACAATAAATCCGTTCACCTACAGGCACCTGATGTTCGACAAGGGCCCAAACTCCATCAGATGGGGAAAAGAGTCTTTTTAACAAATGGTGCTGGCAAAACCGGATGTCCATCTACAAAAAAATGAAACAGGACCCATACCTTACGCCATACACAAAAACAAATTCAAAATGGATCAAAGACCTAAATATAAAGCTAAAAACTATAAAGTTCATAGAAGCAAAAATAGGATCAACACTAGAGGCCCTAATGCACGGCATTAACAGGATACAAACATAACCAACAACACACAAACCCCGGAAGATAAGCTAGATTACTGGGATCTTCTAAAAATCAAACACCTATGCTCTTTAAAAGACTTCACCAGAAGAGTAAACAGAGAACCTACAGACTGGGAAAAAATTTGTGGACATTACAAGTCAGACAAAGGTCTAATCTCTAAAATCTACAAGACAATCTAACACCTCTACAACAAAAAGACAAATAATCCAATTAAAAAATGGGCAAAGGAAATGAACAGACCCTTCACCAAAGACATTCAAGCAGCCAACAGACACGTGAGGAAATGCTCATGATCACTAGCCATCAGAGAAATGCACATTAAAACCACAAAGAGATACCATCTCACCCGGGCATTACGGGCACGAATCAAAAACACTGGAAATACATCTGGGGTCTTAAAAGCCTGTGAGCAGCCATCTAAGATACTCCACTGGTCTCACCCCTTTGGGAGCAAGAGAGAATGAAGAGAACAGGATACAAGGAAAAGATTAGTCCAAAGGACTAATGGACCACAGCTACCAGGGCCTCCACCAGACTGAGTTCAGTACAGCTAGAT